TGCTTTTGAACTGTGGTGTTGGAGAAGACTCTTGAGAGTCCCTTGGACTGCAAGGAGATCCAACCAGTCCATCCTAAAGGAGATCAGTCCTGGGTATTCATTGCAAGGACTGATGTTGAAGCTGAAACTCCAATACTTTGCCCACCTGATGCGAAGAGCTGACTCATTGGAAAAGACCATGATGCTGGGACAGATTGAAGGTGTGAGGTGAAGGGGATGACAGAGGATGAGATGGTTGGATGGCATCACCGACTCAAAGGGCATGAGTTTGAGTAAACTCCGGGAGTTTGTGATGGACAGGGAGGCCTGGCGTGCTGCGATTCACGGGGTCACAAAGAGTCAGACACGACTGAGCGACTGAACTGAACTGTATGGAGGACTTTCAGAAAAATATCCTATATTTGGGAATTTGCAGCTTGAGCTGAATGAAGGTATAAAACCAATCTGTCAGTTCTTTTCAACCCATGCAAGTGCACACACACATATACAACACATACACACATACACACTATGCCACACTACATCATATCATACCAAGTTTAATAAAAAAGAAAAAAAGTTGATTACCTCAGTTTCCATTTTTTAGATTAAATTTGCCCTATAACAGTTCAAGGTAAGACAGATGTCAAGATTCCCAACTCAAAAACTCTTATTAGTCATACATAAATATGGCTATTTATATATTTGTATAATATCAAATATTAGGGATAATTATTTTATCCCTATATATATGTAGCTCTCCATTAGCTATCACCACTTTCCTACTTAGCCACACTTTTCAGTGTTCCTTGAAATGTTCTCTCTGCTATCGGTTGAACACTCTCATGATTTCTTTTATAACTTTTGTGTTTCTTGTTACATTTTTAGTTCTCTTCCTATGCAATTTTGTTTGGTTTAATATAGCAAAACAGTAAAGGAAAACAGCTCTCCTGACCTTCAGACTTAAGTGTCTTAGATCCACTTTTTACTTATTTTTGTAAAATTCACTCTAATTCTCTAGGTGTCTTGTCATTGTCCTTACACTCGGAATGACAACGCCATCTACCTCACCCTGAAAATGTGAAGATTAGATCAGGCAATGGACTTGGCATCGGTGAGTGAACTGACTTCAGACATGCCTTCCTTCCACTGTTCAGTCTTGCCTCTTTCATAGATTTAGCTTTTAGCTGTTCTTGTATGCTCAGTCGTGTTTGACTCTTTGTGACCCCATGGACTGTAGCCCGCCAGGTTCCTCTGTCCATGGGATTTCCCAGGCAAGCATACTGGAGTGGGTTGCCATGCCCCTCCTCCAGGAGGTCTTCCTAACCCTGGGATTGAACCCATGTCTCTTGCATCTCCTGCATTGGCAGGTAAACCCTTTACCATTGTACCACCTCCACCTGGAAAGCCTCTTTCATAGATTAGTACCCTTTTTAATGTGGGACATCTACATTAATTCTATTGTGGTAAAACTACCTTTGACTCAGCAAATATTCATTGGGGCTTTATTCTGTGCCAGCTGCTACTTTAGATGTTGAGGCTATAGCAGTGAACAAAGAAAAAAGTCTGTTTTGCTTCTGTTGAAAAGCAAAATGCAACTGAGTAAAATGCAAAGATCACATTGGCTTCATTCAGTTATTCATGAATTAGGCAGCATACAGTCTAGCAGATAGAAGGGAACTCAGAAGAGAGGTACAAGGCAAGGCATTTTCCAGGCAGAAGGGGAGAGGAAAAAGGAAGAGTTCTAGGTGAAAGCAGAGGGATTACTGCAGGGTCACTTTCCTTACAGAGAATGGGACGGGTGTATCAGGCAGATTACCAGACCATGGGTAATCAAGAGATTTCTGATGGACTGGTAAGATTCCACTTCTGGGACTGCTGAAACTGTAATTGAGTTGTGGGTTGGTGACATGGGTTTTAGCATAAATAACTCCATTTGGAAACTCTTATCTTTAGCACTTGGAGCATCAAAGTAGAAGTGAAGAAGCAACAGTGAATATGTAGCAAAATAAAAAGATAATTCCATGTAGTGATAAGTGCTATGTGAACACTGTAGCCGGGTGATGTGATAGAGACAGCCTAGAATGAAGCAGAGCTAGAATACTACCCTGAGGTACTGACAGTCCTGTAGTGTAACCTAAAGTTAATCTTTGGAAAATTTTTCATTGCTGTTTGTTAATTAAATCTTTTATTCCCTTTAACTTATTAAAGTTGAATGTTGGCATAGTGTTAGATTTTTTAAAATTGTTGTTTATTGACATTTCTATGTAGGATTAGGAAAGTGCACTTAAAACATTCTCTAAGATTGAGCGTCTCATTCTCATTAAAACTCTTCTATTAAAACTCTCAGATTTCCTATTTATACTTTTGGAAAAACTGTAACTGGCAAAATGCCTAGCATGAAACAAATATATGACAAAGATTCATTTCCTTCATTGTACGTCCTTAAATTTCATGGGTCTCTAAAATTTTTTATTCATTTTCACAGGTCCCTGACATTCTGTGATATATAATGACAACCCCTATCTAATACATGAATCCATCCTATAAATCCTTTTAATTCCAAAATCATGCTCACTCATAGCCATTCAATCTGTTTTAATATATGTACTGATAAAAGAAACCACATTTCTTATAACTTCTATCAGTGGTCCATTGAGTCTTGTTTGAAACTGGAAATAGGCAAAGCATCATATAGATTAGAATTCTTATTAATTGAAGTAGGATATATATTAATATATTATTACTAGAATGTATACTGTATTATGAACATAAAGTATTATATTATTAAAATTCTAATTGAAATGATGTTACAGGTTTGTATTATTGCTTTCCAATTCTTTATGTGATATTTTCCACTAGTTAAAGAGACAAGCATTTCTGATGGGATTAATGGTCAAACATAGGTGAGAAGCTAAGGAGAAAAAAAACTCATTTCTTTGTGAAAACCTATTGTTTTAGTAACTGCTGTATTTGAAAACCCTGACAGCCAGTTCCGTTATTCAAGAACATTTATTCCCATATGTTCTGCTGTCCCACAGCATAAAAATTACCTATTGGAAGACTTATTGCTTCAGGCAATAATGAGACCATAAATCTGTTAGCCTCCGTTAAGGTCCCTGGAAATACACGAGAACTTTTGGGACTGTTGTTTCCCTGAAAAGTGTAAAATCATCATTTTTGTTGATATTCATTTAAATCAGGCAAGCTTCTCCACTTGGGGCAGAATTGTTTTGATAGCAACTAAATCATGAGGTCTCCCATCCACAGCGATTGGGACACTTTGATTGAATAAAGCAATTATGTTCCAGAAATAAGAGTGCTTGACAAAGAGCATCCAGAATGCCTATTAGATGGAGTTTGCATTTGGAGATCACTGCACCCTAGGCAAGCAATGATACTCTGGCCATTGGATTTCTAATTGGGGAACCTCTAGAAGAGATTATATGGAAGAGAGACAGCGGTGGTGTACATGTCTCCTTGCTGCTTCTTAATTTCTCTAATAAGGGCAGCATTTTTTCCTTTATTAAATGGGAAAACTTACAACTCCACAAGCAGGAATAGAAATATAGGGAATTATATTGATTTATAATGTTGCACCATGTTGAAAACAGCATTTGACTTGGAATTAGAATACCTGGGCTCAGATTAGCTTTCTAACCTAAATGAGCTATGGGATACCCTGGCTTGTCTAAGCCTGCTTACTCATCTATGAAAAAAATGAAAGCAATAATCACCTTTTACCAATGGAAGAATTGCTAGATCACTGCTCATTTTTTTTTTTTCTGTATCCAGACTCTGAAACCAGTACAGGAAACCTAAGAATACGTCTTCCTTTGGATAGTGCCTAGCCTATGTTTATTACAATTTTTAATCTGCTTTCAATTTTCTGTCCTTTTGAGTGTTTCTTTGCCAATAGTTGTTTATAAAATATTGCAAAGAATGCTCAAAGCCCCTCTTTAGTCTTATTTCAGGTAGGCTCATTTAATTTTAAAGATATTCTGTTACCAGTCATGACAGAGGTACAAGTGGTGATAAAGAAGGAAACAGTAAACACGAGTTTATAAAGGCAGAAGAGATCTGACATTTCCTGACTATCTACCATACTTGTGCCTCTTTTAACTCTTCCCTGCTGGCTCAGAGAGTAAAGTGTCTGTCTGCAATGCAGGAGACCCAGGTTTGATCCCTGGGTTGGAAGATCCCCTGGAGAAGGAAATGGCCCCCCACGCCAATACTATTGTTGGGAAAAATCCCATGGACAGAGGAGCCTGGCAGGCTACAGTCCATGGGGTCGCAAAGAGTCAGACACGACTGAGTGCCTTCACTTTCATGCTCTTTACTAGTGGCTCAGCTGGTAAAGAATCTGCCTGCAATGCAGGAGACCTGGGTTCAATCCCTGGATTGGAAAGATACCCTGGAGAAGGGAATGGTAACTCACTCCAGCATTCTTGCCTGGAGAATCCCTTGGATAGAGGAACCTGGCAGGCTGTAGTCCATGAGGTCACAAAAAGTTTGACACAATTGAACGACTATCACTAAGAGGATTAGGTGACTCCTCTAAAGTAAGACATATACATTTGATAGGTGAATTTGAATTCAAGTTTTTCTGAAGCCAAAGTTCAGGCCTATTATATTATACCAGGCTGTTCAATGGGAATGGCAATTTCATGGCCCTTTGTAATTACATTTACTTTTTATGGCTCCCTTTATTAATTCAGATGACTTTGTATTCTTTTATTCCTCAGGGTAGCAGTCAACTAGACTGCTAATCTCTTCTCTAGATTGGAATGAACCATTCCTTCTTTATTCCTACTCCCAAGCCTGTGGTTCATCAAAATGGTGCAAAGTAAAATACTGGAAATAGGGCAGACCTCATCAGACCTTTGGTTCTGGCATTTACTAACTGTAAAGTTTGGGATCACTTGCTGAATCAATTGTTGTGCAGTTGTTCTTGTTGGAGGGCTGCTTATTGGCTTCTTATGTGTTAAGTATCTGAAACCTTTATTTATGTTCCTGGGAGTCCACACATGAATACCTCTTACTTTGTACAGGTCACAAAAACTCAGCCTACATTCATTACCTCTTTGAATCAGCTTCCAGTTTTCTGTTTTCTAAATGCCTTTTCATGAGATAACATAGAGGTAATAAATGAATGAGGCAACTACCACCTCTAAGACTTGTGAAACAATGGGGAAAGGTTTAGGATTATTGGGACTTTAAAGCTTATGACATATTTCTGAGGTTGAAGTGCTTCCTAGTTGTTGGTCTTTAATGATTTGAAAATTGCCTGCTTACCCTCATAGAACTGTTTTGTGAAAACTGTTACTTTTTAGAAAGTTTAAAAAGAGCAAGAGTTGGAGTAGGCATGAAAAATTTTACAAAGGAGAAGAACTTGAAGTGGGAAAATTTATAATGATAGAATTAAGAGCAAAACCATGGGACTGGGAGTGAGCATGATGTGGGGGAGATGGAAAGAGATGGATATGATTAAAATAAGATTGAGTCAATTGAGTGCAAACAAATTTGGGGAGGGATGAAAACCCCAATACCTTTAACATCTTGGGGTCCATGAACTACAAGAGATGTCCAAGAGGGAATATGGTTGGTCTAGATAACTTACATGTCTTAGTTTTACTGGCTTGATGGAAGTTAACTAATCAGTCTGGGTCATGTGGACACAGGATCATAGGAGATTGTCTTAATAGGCTATGAATGTGTTAGTCGCTCACCCTTGTCTGACTCTTCGTGATCCCATGGACTGTAGGCTCCTCTGTCCGTTGGAATCTCTAGGCAAGAATACTGGAGTGGGTTGCATTTCCTTCTCCAGGGGATCTTCCCAACCCAGGGGTAAAATCTAGGTCTCCCACACTGTGGGTAGATTATTCACCATCTGAGGCACCAGGGAAGCCTGTTAATAGGCTATACAGAAGACTGGCCATTCACTGGATGAACCCGTGGTGCAGCATAAGGGATTCTGGGTTAGGGGATTTCAAATTTTGCTTTATCTTTTATCTATGTCGCCAAGGGTGGAAGTATAAAGTTTAATATTTTACTAGTCTCCTTTTGTCTGAGAAATAAATGATTATCACTTTGATTGGATAAAGATCCAAACAAAAATTCACTGAAATGACCACATAGGGGAAATTTGTATGTTTAAGAGGTAGCTTCTAATTATTTAATAGTCAGACTTAATTATTTAGAGTTTCCATGGTGGCTTAGTTGGTAAAAAATCCACCTGCAATACAGGAGACCCGAGTTCTTTTGATCCCTGGGTCAGGAAGACCCTCTGGAGAAGGAAATGGCAACCCACTCTGGTATTCTTGCTTGGGAAATTCCATGGACAGAGGAGCCTGGTGGGATACAATCCTAAATTATATTTCTACGTCCCAGCTACCTCACCAACCAGAGAGGATAAGTGGCCTAAAAGTAGCTCCAGGTGTTATAAAGATCACTCAGGCTTGGTTCATCTGTCAGTGCACTCAGGGTAGAATCTTAGAAGCTTAAGGGGCTCAGTGGCTAAAGAAGGACACTTTTCTATGCATCCTTGAATGAATCCTTTTTAAAGATAGTATATCTAGTGAGCAATGTTATTCTTCATATAATTCATAAGTTTAAACATCAACTGTATAAATCAAAATCCCTTAAACATTTAGATATTAAATATAAAATTTGATTTCAAATTGATTCAATAAAGTCATAAATCTAGCATATCAAATTATTTTAAATGCTCAAAATACCTTATTTACACAAAACATTACAGTTATAAAAATTATTAGCATATCTACTTCAAAACATTAATCCTGTGGGTCTATTATCTATATACTCATATGATTTTATATATTCCTAGGGTTATGGTTTTATTCATTTATGCACAGTAATTTTATCAGCCTGGAAATCAAACATAAACTAGCTGATAATTCAGATTTTATTTCATTAATCTATTCATTCCTCATTGTGTCAAGGGATCTGGTTAGATCTAGTAGATTGAAACCTAAGTCAGGGTTTATTGGGCTGGGCCTCTTCTTTGATGAAAATTTACATGTTAAATAAGAGGCATTGTACTTTCTAAGTTTACACTTTAGAGTGTGGTACTGATCGAGCTTTGCTCCCATGCCATTTGATATATTGGTTATAGAGTGATACACCTCCAATTCTTTTTATTTGAATGTGCCCTATTATCATTTCATGATTAGTAGGATATCCAAAGTTTCATGCCTCAGGAGATTAGGGACTGAGTTTATATACACAACTTTCCATTAGGGTTATGCGCATCATCTATCATTTTGTCACAGGTTGTTGGATTCTATGTGACTTACTCACTGTTCTCTGAAATCACCCCTTTTGTTAAAACATATAAAAATGCATACAGTAATTTTTAAATATGACATGTATTTAAATGAAATCACCATTTCCCTATTTATGAGCCTCATTAAATACTTATCATGGTTTAGTATACTCGCCCTACTTAAATTTTCACACTCTAAATTTTATTTTAAAGTTTATATCCTTAATTACAATCTCATGTTTTTTCACATATGCAATTCAATTTTATTATAACTATTTTTAGATATACAAATTATTATAGTGTATCTATTAGAAACCACATTTAGTTAAATCCTTTGCCTTTTAAGATACCACTCAGAAAATTTTAAAAGCATCTTTGACTTCTGGCAACAACAAGCTATTTCATCTCAATTTTTTCCCCTATTTCAATGGATAAGATCTTCTCCAAAAAGTCTCAATTCCTTTGAATGGAATGTACTTTTAAAGATCAATTTCAGCATACTATAAAAATGTACTCTATTCTACATATGCCAGGCATTACTGAGAGTTAGAAAACAGTGATCATTAAAATCATGAGTTCATACTGATTTTCTAGTTTAACCACAAAATTAGTATTATTTTTCAAAAACTTACTCTAATATGAATATATACTTCAACATGGTTAGGTGAAAATTCACTGTGTTCTGTTATCTTCTAGGCTCAGAATACTGCTTTTGCCAGCACACTGTGAACAAAGCCATCCCACTGGGACTGATTCCCAGTCACTAAGCTCATAATCCCATATAAAAATCAAAGTAAAGAGGTCAGTATGAATGGGCACTTGCCCATGCAGACAGACATAAGCATGGAAGCTAGAGTGAAACAGAAGTCTGTTCGGTGAGTAAGAAATCAAAATGAGCATAATGAGTTCTCTTAGATCTTTCAGGACAACATGTATTCATGAACCCACAGCAGAGCAGGTTGTACCAATTGAAGTACCATAGATAAGTGCATGGAAGTAAGACTACAAACTTTCAGACACATCTAGAATGAGTACTGCCAAAATTAGCGGAGGAAGCAAGACTCAGTAGCCAAGAGGAGCTGATATATACTTGATAATGTTAACAATGAGAATGTGTAAAAGGAAAAAAAAAGTACAGTATAATTCAAAACATAAGGCAGATAACCAACAAGGATCAACTACATAGCACAGGGGACTATACTCAGTATTTTATAAAAACCTATAAGGAAAAAGAATCTGAGAAAAATAGATATGCTTGTATAACTGAGTCACTTTGCTTCGCACCTGAAACTAACACAATATTGTAAATCAACTCTAATTTAATAACAAAAAAGGAAGAGAGACAGACAAGACGACAAAATGTGATTCAACAATTCCTCTATAGCCTGGCCCCAACACAAGAAACATGTTTATCCTATCAGTTAGGGAAAAAGTCCTTAAATGAGTCTGCATGATCAAGAAGAAATCTAGTTATAAGGTACATGTGAATGGAATCTTAAAGATCTTGGAGTTTATCATATTTTGCTAAAAGTATGCCACCCACTTTAAAAATCCAGGGAGAACAAAAACATGTTCTGGACAAGTCACATTTATTAAAAAGTCCTATCATTATTGTTTTTTTCATTTCAGATGCATGAGGTTATCACAACAATAAAATTGACATCTAGGGGAAAATTGAAAGATATGAAGGTTGCTAAACTGTGACCAAGAAGTAGCTAGGCCCACTTAATATCATTTTCAAGTTATTTATTCAATAATTAAGGTAATTATCAATTTTCACTTTTTCATTTGTTCATTGGCATTTATTCACTTGTATAAATAAGGCATAAGGTATTTCTTTAATGAACTCACACGTTGGGAAGGATGAATTAAATGATAAATGCTCCATCATAGGTTGGATAATAGGAGAAAGGCACAAACATATACCTATCTTGTAAAAAGAATGAATAAATTACCAAAAATGGTAAATGAGTTACAGCAAGTTTCACAGAATAGTGGATATTTGAGTTGTAACTTGAAAGAAAAATTAGGAGCCAGTAAGGCAAAAAGGAAGGAGAATTCCAGAGATGAAAAGAAACTATGACACAGTTGAGTGAGTGTAAGTTTTGATTTGAATGAGTAGTTCTGTGTATAGAAAAAGGGAAAAGAAGCGGCAGAGGAAGACAGGAGTAAGGGTTAGGAGACTTAGCAGAGTATACCGATGATCCATGGTTAGAAACTATCCAAACTCCTAAATCTTCCAATGATATACACCATAGAGCCAAGACAGAAGTACTAGATATTTACACAGTGTTCACCTCGTGGGTGACAGAGAGGGGTGGATGTGTCATGACTTTATCTGTTAGATGAAGCAATTGTTGCCCAGATTCAAGGGAGATATTCAACTTTGTATGGTGAGAGGATGACCCATAAAGATCGTTCAGATCATCTGAGACTACTGCCACCATTTTACCACTAGTGTACCCACCCCCACTGCCTGGGGGTTCTTGAGAGTTTAGAACATTTATTTTTTTTCATACAAATTTAAAGGTTTGATAGGGATTACATTGAGTCTGTGGATTGCCTTGCAATCCCTATCAGTTACCAATGGCATTTTTTCACAGAGCTAGAACAAAAAAATTTTAAATCTGTATGGAAACACAAAAACCCTGAATAGCCAAAGCAAGCCTGAGCAAAAGAGCTTGAGGAAGTAGGCTCCCTGACTTCATACAATACTACAGTCATCTAAACATGATACTAGCACAAAACAGAAATGTAGATCATGGAACAGATTAGAAAACTCAGAAATAAGCCCACGCACCTATGGTCAATGAATCTGTGACAAAGGAGGCAAGAATAGACAATGGAGAAAAGAGTCTCTTCAATAAGTAGTGCTAGGAAAATTGGACAGATACACGTCAAAAACAGAAAATTAGGATGTTCTTTAGCACCATACAAAAAATAAACTCAAAATGGATAAAATACGTAAATATAAGGCCAGACATTAAAACACCTAGAGGAAAACATGGGCAGAACACTCTGTCACATAAACCGCATATCTTTTTGCGATTAATCGCCATATCTTTTTTGATCCACCTCCTAGACTAATGATAATAAAAGCAAAAATAAACAAACTGGGCCAAATTAAACTTTAAATCTTCACGGCAAAGGAACCATGAACAAAACAAAAAGACCACCCATGGAATGGGAGGAAATATTTGCAAATAAAGCTATTGACAAGGTATTAATCTCCAAAATATACAAACAGCACATGAAGCTCTATATCAAAAAACAAACAGCCCAGTCAAACTGTGGAAGATCTAAATAAACTTTTCTTCAAAGAAGACATACAGATGGCCAATAGGCAAATTAAAAAATGTCCAGCATTGCTAAATATTAGAGATAAGCAAATCAAAATGACAATGAGTTATCAGCTCACATCAGTCAGAATGGCCATCATCAAAAAGTGTAAAAACAATAAATGCTGGAGAGGGTGTAGAGAAAAGGTAACCCTCCTACACTGTTGGTGGGAATATAAATTGGTACAATGGCTATGGAAAACAATATGGAGGCTCCTCAAAAAATTAAAAATAGAGCTACCATATGATCCAGCAGTCACACTCCTAAGCATATACACTGTGAAAACCGTAATTCAATGTCCATTGCAGCTCCATTTATAATGGCCAGGATATGGAAGCAACTAAGATGTCCATCAACAGAAGAATGTATAAAGAAGATGTGGTACATATACACAATGGAATATTATTCATAAAAAATGAAACAATGACATTTACAGCAACAGGGATAGACCTACAGATTATCATACTAATTGAAGTAAGTCAGACAGAGAAACAAAACTGTCATATGCTATCACTCATATGTGAAATCTCATTTTTTAAGTGATACAAATGAACTTATTTACAAAACAGCCTTACAGTTATCAAAACAAACTTATGGTTACCAAAAGGAAATGTGAAGGGGAGGGATAAATCAGGAGCTTGGGATGAACATATACACACTACTATATATAAGATAGATAACCAACAAGGACCTACTATATATTACAGGAAATGTGAATTAATATTCTGTGATAACCTATATAAGAATCTGAAAAAGAATGAATGTATGTATAGATGTATAACTGGATCACCTGACTGTATACCCAGAACTAACACAGCATTATAAATCAGTATGTGAATTTCACCCTTAATGCTTCCCACTGTCACTTACTATAGTCAGTCATCTGGTTGCAACATTCCAGGATTAAGCCTCTCTGATTTTCCCTTCTACATGTACAGTACTTACTGTTTGAGTCACCTGTAAATCAAACAACTAAATATCATTTTTCTATATGTGTGTGTATGACTGTTTAAAAACACTACAAGTGTGATTTAGAAGTGGACCTTGGTTAAGCTTCATTTCATCCTTTTTGTCTTCTTAGATTCTTGAACCTTCTGCCTATGCTGTCACAGCTGGGAGCAGCAAGGAGTCTGAGAAAATGGATTTGAACATCTCATAGTTGGCTCATTCTTTACTCTAGGTAGACCACATCTGTGTTACCTGTATGTCCTAGTGGATAACTTTGGCATACATGTGTCTTAGTCCTTTCAGGCCACTATGACAGAAAGTATCAAAAAGACTTGGTGGCTTATAAATAACAGAACTTTTTTCTCACAAATCTGGAGGCTAGGAAGTCCAACATGAAGTCACTGGCAGATTCAGTGTCTAGTGCTGGCATATTTCCTGACTCATAAATGACTATTTTCATGGTATTCTATGGCAGAAGGGAGGAGGGGTCTCTTGGATAAGGGTATAATCCCATTCATGAGTGCTTCACTCTTATGACTTAATCGCCACAAAGGTCCCACCTCCTAATGCCAACAGAAGGTTGGTTATTGGGGTTATTTTTCAACACATGAATTTTGAAAAGACATAAACATTCAGTTTATAGCATGTGGAAAACACAGTTCTCCGCCCAAGAGCATAATGGGAGAGAGTAACTATGACGGTGGAGTAGAAAGACCCGGAGCTCACCTCCTCTCATGAGCACACAAAAATCACAGCTCTCTGCAAAGCAGCCATTGATAAAAAACAAAACAAAACTGGAACTACCAGAAAAGATTTTCTACAACTAAAGACATAAAGACTCAGATGTATAGAACAGACTTGTGGACTCTGGGAGAAGGCGAGGGTGGGATGTTTCAAGAGAACAGCATTGAAACATGTATATTATCTAGGGTGAAACAGATCACCAGCCCAGGTTGGATGCATGAGACAAGTGCT